ACCTCACAAGCATGAATTGTTTCCCCCGCATCCCTCCCTGCCCAATTCTAAGAGTAGTGACCAGTCCTGAAAACAAAATATTGCCAGTTAAAGAAAAATAAATCACGCTCCAGGAACAGAGGAGGATAGAAAACAACGGCAGGATTAGAGGCATAGATAGGTCTCCTGAAATAACACCTCCTGCCTTATTTGGGGCAAAAAAATAATAATTTACTTTATCTCATCTGCTGTTCTCCAGCTTCTGCTGCACTTCCTGCCTGAGGACAGGGACCGACCTGTGGTGAGAAGCAGCACAGACAGGGCATGCTGTCTGCACCGAGGAAGTGCTGTCACAGCAACTCCACCTGTATCTTTTACGGGTCTGGAAGACAAAAATATTTGCATTCTTAGAAGGCTAGAGGAGTTGAGGCCACTGACTGATGAAATGGAAAAAAGATTTTAGATTAGAGAAAAAAGGACAGTATGACTGCTGAAAAAAAATTATAGAGTGGTCGCTACTTAATCATACATACAAATTAGCCAATAAATTTTAAATCACTTGGGAGAAAGGGGGAGACAACTGAAAATCCAAATCTCAGTTTTACTCTACTTGGCTGAATAACAAAGAATGAAGAAAGGGAAATTCTCTCACTTGACAAAACCAGAATATTGTTACAGACACTATTTAAATGTCACCTTCCCGGCTGACACAGAACAGTAGCAGGCAATACCATAGGATTAGCTGACTTTTTATTAAGCACTGCATCATTATACCAGTAAGTACACTCACACCACTAAGGCTTTTCTGTGGGCGGTAACAGAGGTGCGTTACTCTTCCTTTCATCAGCCCATCAACCTGTCCAACGTTATTGCAAGACTCTGTGTGTTGGCATGAGGCTGAAACAGAAGGTTTTGTCGAGCTGTCCTCCTCGCTGCCAGAGTACCAAATATTCCAAGCACAAGTCTGAAGGAAACCCCCTCCCAAGATGCTCCCACCCAACACACCTCTCCCTGGTGCTCTGACAGGCAGAAAGAAGCACACCAACATTTCTATGGACAGAGGACACTCATCCTCCAGCAGCTCCTCCCCATCCCCAACCAGAGGTGCCTGCTGAGCACACACCATCGCTCCCTACAGTGGGACCAAGTCGAGCACAGCACAGGATAAGCATCACAAGTATCAGGACTATACTGCTAAATGATTACTCTGCTGTCCTAGAGACTTCTAAGTGCAATATCACAACAACACTACCACAGGCTAATGCTAACTTCTGCATTCAGACAGCAGAAGACAACAAAATAGTCCGTCTATGTGCATTTAAGCAAATCAAGCTTTTCTCTAGCAGTCCTATTTTTAGAAATTTTATTAGATACAGGGATATTAAACTTTAGTCTGCAATTGTTACTTGCCCAAAGAAGTTAAAATCCAGAAGATGGTTGCTTTAAAACTAGTTTTGTAGGTGAGCAGGAGGTCATCAGAAATTCACCACCACAGACACGCTCCATCTCCCTCCCAGTACATCTACTGCACTGTTTAGTGGTTTCTGGTTTACTTGTATATTAAACGACAAATTACAGTATAGGGGAAAAAAGGTACTTGCCAAAGGATCAAGCACCCTCGAGTTTGCATTCTAAAAAAACCACCTTCCAACAAATGCAGGAAAATATTTAGAAGTGTTATTCCAAGGTGCCTTTCAAATCACACTAATATGCAGGTGCTGAGTGTCCTAACTCAACAGCTCCTACAGCAAGAGCAGTACATTTATACATAAAGCCTTAAAACAGAAAAAGGCTTAGAAGAGTTATAAGAAGGCCTTTTTGAAAGCATATAAAAATAAAATAACATTACTAGACTATCTGAACATTCTTCATAAAAAGGCACTCAGTTTTCCTTTTCATAAGAAACACTATAGAGTTCAAGAGAACAACATAGATATTTATCATATTCTGCCCTTTTAAAAATCAAAGGCAACCAATTATATCCAAGTTCTCTCTCATACTTGCATCTTAAGAAGAAAAAGATTAGGGAAAGAAGAGTGACCTTTACAGTATCTCTTCCCATTCCTTTCTTTATTTTGCTTGTCCAGTTACACACTCTCTCTTTACATAACATCAAGTGCGTCTGCAAAGAGAAAACACCTATGTTTATCAAAAAGCACAGATTAGAGCTGCTGATATAGACACAGATCATGTAATTTCTGTAACAAATCCTCTAGGATCCTAGCACGAAAACACAGGTTTATGCGGGGGTGGGGAGTAGAAGGGCAGACCTAGTTCATGAATTTTCCTCAGCTCTCCAGCTTTATTCAATAAAACATACCAACAATTACACAACAGCAGCAAAGCCTAGAAGGAAAGATCTAGCACTCACCATATTTCCTTCATCTGGTGTTGAGCTCTCTCCTACACATTACGTACAAACTTACAGAGGTGAAAAAAGTCCAACCTGAATCTACTTTGCAGACCGAGTTTAGGGCCCTAATTACAAATGGTTTATGTCACTTCTCACCCAACAGATGACCCAAGCTTGGAAGGGTAAAAAGTAAATAAATTTAAAAAACTGAAACACGCTTTCAAGACAACTGGTGCAGAACACTACCTTCAATTGAATGATAAGTACTTATTTAGCTGGTTACCCCTCAATCAAGAAGAAAAATGAAAAAAACAACCCAACACACCAACTGCTCTGCTACTCAGAAGAAAAATCCTTAATCTTCTCAATGTACCCACACACACCTACTATCTTGCATTTACTTTTGCAAAGATGGAACATACTGGAGCCTATCCATGACTTAGTTTTTGGAATTGAAAAAAAGAAGAATTCTGGAGCAATGTCTCTTCCAGATGCACCACTGCAAGTCTTAGACATCAACTCTAACAAATTAGTATTTCAGTTCTGAATTAGCTATATTGTACTCTATAAAAAGAGGGGACCTAGCAACAGTATTTTATAAATCTATAAATCTGGAAACAGATACACAAATTACTCTGTCTACGTATGTCGAAGTCCAAAACATACACTTTCCAGGTTTATTTTGCATTTGGTGGTGAGCACTGATGAGGGTGAAGAAAGAAGGAAGCTCTTTTTTCTATTTTGTAGCTTTTAGTATGTCTTTATATAAAATAAAATATATTTAAACTGAGAACTTGTACAAGCGTTTGCTTAAAATCCTCCCCAAAACCAAAGCCATGCTTTATAGTGAAAAGCAAAAAGACGGGCCTCCTTACCCATACACCATCCCAGAAAACACTTCTGTGTAGCTGTTTGCAAATGATACTTCAAACAAACATACTAAGACATTTCAAGACTGTAAAACAAAGGATTTCAAATTGTCAAAGTACATCAGCAACACCAATCAACAGATGCTTCAGGAAAACTCTAGGATATGCAGCTCATGCTAAGACCACTTTCCAAGCAAGAGGCAAAAGAAACCACACAGTTCTGCAGTCAGCAGTAAAACTATCCCAAGGAAACTGCTTTCAGAAATTGACAACCATATCATCATGGGACAATGGCTTGAATTTTAACTAGCATGTTCAATACACACAGTGAATCCCCAGGGTCATATGCTGTATGACTTTAACATTACCATTATGCCCATAAACTTTCCCATTTCCAATTAAGAATACACACAACACCTTGACAGTCAATCGTCCTTCTGGAAGGCCTTTACGCTTTAAGGCATAAAGCGGATTTTTAAAAATACACCCGCCACTGCAAGTACTATGTGGACTTCTTTTAACGAGCAAATACAAACATATAAAAAGATTCTTAAAACAGCGTATCTGGAAAAGCTTGAGCTGTACCAGGCAAGGCAATTTCGAAGCAGTGCAGTGTTGCGACAGTTCTAGCCCAACAGACCAGAGTCTAGCTTGCTGCTGCCACCATCTCCTTAAGAAGAACTGGAAGCTCACCTAGAGTATCCACAGACACTTTGTGCATCTCGGAAAGGCACACGAGAGGGTACCAAAAGGCACATTATCACAGAGGCTTCAGCTCTTGTAGCCTAACAAAAAGAGTGCTCCATCTGGGTGAACACTGACTTTCTGACTAATCCGGAGTCTGACCAGACTCCAGAGCTGTATGCTGCCATTCCTTTTTTTTCCTTGTTTACATGGACATGCCCGCGGATGCAGCCTGGGCAGAAGAGAGGGAAAGAATTTTAGGAGGGCTGTTCATATTTTGCACTCAGTAGATCCATTTCCTCCCCTTTCCAAGGACTAAGCACATAAAAAGACTTGATGGCTGCTTCCTTGCACAAAGTACAGTAGCCAGAATGAAAATCAGTGCATTCGAGGACAAGAGTAGAGCCTTCCTTAATATTTCAGTTCAGTCCATCACCTTGATGAGCCTATGAATACTAACAAGCAAAAGTTCAATAATAACTGCAAAGCGAGCATGCAGAGGTGAAAAAGCCCTATGGATTCTGTAATTAGTTCTGCTAACAGTAAATGAAGAAACATTGCATATCGCTATTTGCATGAAAGAGGTTCCCTCTGTTTCTTTCCATTCTGAAGCAGCAGCAAAGACAGTCGCTGTTGCGGGGAACAGAAGACCTACTCTTCTGACATGAGCTTCGTGTCAAACTTCTTAGCCTTGTATCCTGACAGTTTGAAGGGGAGATGATTTAGAGACGCATAGACTTCATAAAGAAAAGTCTGGCTCTATCAACTACACGCGCAGTGCAAATCAACTCACTTTTAAGGAGATGTGCCTTGTTCACGTAACGCTAAAACAAAGTGATGAAGATACTTAGGAAAAATCATGTTTCTGATTACACTAGGACAAAATACTTGTTGAGAAACTGTTACTTAACACATAATGAGGTTGTACCTACGATTTAAAAAAACGTTTCAGTACACTATCTCAATCCAGAAATACATCTGTATAAGAAACCTGAAAGAAAAGCATCCCACACATCCACTACGTCTACGTACCCCCCCCCCACTAAAACATCTGTGTTTTAACACTTATTTACATATTTATAATTGTAGGTTTTAAATTAATAAGACGTTCTTACCTGTATATCCTGCCCACCAGCCCCAGGAAGCCACCATAGCTAGAAGCCACTTAAATAATACTCCTTCGATATACCAGAAGCTTTTACTATCCAACACTCGGAGCGGCTGCAGCATAATTAAATACAAGACGTAGGACGGAATAGCCACCAGGTTATTGGCGACCATAAAAGCGAACCTGAGGAGTGCTTTCAGGCAGGTATAGCCCACCCGCCGGGCCTGCTCTAGAGTCACGGCCATCCTCTCTCTTCACAGCGGAGGGCGCGGGACCGTCCTGCGGGGAGAGGGAACGACAAGGCACAGGTAGCGCTCTCCGAGCCGGGGCCAGCCCTGGCGACTGTGCCCGCCCGCCCGCTC